CATGCCTTATCATATGATAGCTCATTAGACTATGTGTGAGAAAACCTTTCACTGTCCATGATATTTTCATAACAACTTTTAACGCCCAGATTCATTCACTTCATGTTAGAGATGCCCTACTAATACTAATGGAAATAGTTTTGAAATCATGGCCTATAATCATTGATGGCATATCCGGATACCATACTAATCAAGACATAATTTATAAAAATAGCCCGAAAAGCATTAAAGGCAAATTTAGATGTCATTCATGTCATGTGGCCAAGCTTCATAGAACATATAGATAATATCATCTATAAACTTTCTTGAGTCATAAACATACTTTCATGAACATGTTTTCTTTTCAATAATTCATAAGATTCATAATGGTTTCAAAGTCAGTGCATCTTCAAATTCATTTTCATCTATTTCATTAAGAGAAGATATGCATATTTTCGTACATTCATCATTCATAGTCTGAGACCCACATTATATCAACATAGCTTAGAAAACATGGGTTATACATGGGTTCATGGGAAATCAACTTAAAATCATGCAATCACTTCAATTCATGCATAAGAGTTCGTAAATCAATCAAATAACCCAACATTGAAAGGAACCCATGACATGAAAGAAAACCCTAAATCAATTGGAGAATTCTAACTTTGTAAATTGGAGTTGGGAATTCCATGGATGAATTGAAACTTGACTTGAAACCCTAGGTTGAACCCTTCTTCTTCGTAATGTTCTAGAAAGAAATATTTCAGAGATGAGATTTGATCTTCTTTTAGATTCTTAAGAGAATGAGTCTTAAATGGGGAAGATTTAGGGGAGAACTCTTATATAGGTCTTTAGATGAAGGGTAAAACAACATAGTATCAAATTAAAATAATCTAAAAAGACTTTTAAGACCCTAACTTAAAAACTGAAAACAAGGAATATTGGAGCTCGCCAAAGGCCACTTGACGACTCTCCAAGTGAGCCTTTAGTTTGCCAAAATTTACAGTAAGTCGACTTGGGGGCTAAGTCAACTTAGGTGATGTGGAGTCAACCTTGGAAACACGGAGAGCGGAATTGTGAACTCGACTTAGCACGCCTAAAGTCGCAGAACACTGGATGTTGAAATCAAGCCAAAAAGGCGTGGGGCTCTACTTGGTGGATCGCCAAGTCGACTATGAAGTGAATATTTTCCCTTCTCTTAATTTGAGGTGTTACATTATCTCTGTCTTGGGAACATTCATCCTCGAATGGATTTCTAGACACCTCTTAAAGGAAACGACTCAAAACTAGCAGCCCATCATGAATGTAATCATAAAAATTCACATATACAAGGAGGAATCCTCATCTCAAAGCTAAATCATACTCATATATCCATATCATGAAGTTCACATCCAACACATACTCAAATGCACACAATCATGTAGCAATCAAGTAAGCTAACTCATATTTTTGAAAAATCAAATATTCCATGAGCATGCATGCATGAGAAAACATGACGATGACGAAGACACCCGAATCCTAAAGAGTGAACCATGGGGAGCTATGACCTAAAGATAGACTCAAAGATAAAGGAAAGAGATAAGGATACTAAGAAATCACATCACGTCTTACTTTCACCCACGAAACCATAAAAAAGAATTCTTCCAAAACTAACATAGTTCTACTCACGTACAAACCATGAGGCACACTATCTCCTCCTTGAGAGCAAACCCACTAGTCTTTTTAAATCCATCTCCCTCAATCTAGACATAACACCAATGTCTTAACCACCACTAAACCATTGATACAAGTAAGCACTTAAGAAGTTTCCATATGGATTTTCAAGCACTACTTCAAACACAATCACCTGACATGGAGTCATACCATATCAAATGAAACACTCAATATCAAGCAATGCATAACCACAAGCTAAAACACCATAACTTACCATTTAACGCATATGGGGAACCCTCATAATCTTCTTGAGTTTGATCTTGCATACCCTCCCTTCCATTAGAAGTAAGGATTGGGAAATCTCTTTTCTTGTGACCACTCTTTCCACACCCAAATCAAGCATTAGAATAGGTTAGACATTTACCCTCATGTCTTCTCCAACATTACCTACACTCGGGAAATATTTTCTCACTACCACCCTTACCTTGAGAGAGATTTCCTCCATTGGACCTTGAATGTGAAGACTCACCATCCTCCCTTCTTGCCCTCTTTAAATCCCTAGTTTTCCTTTTAAGCTTTTCCTCTTCTATTTATTGTGCATGTATCATCAACCTGGAAACATCATTCTTCTTAATAAGCATGGCGGTTACGCATTCTTTGACCACTATGTCAAAAGCACCCTACATAAACTTACTCATCCTAGTCGTTGGATCGGTGATATACCATGAGTTTACGGTATTTTTGATACATTTCACTTAAGAGTTGTGTGTGTCTAGGGCCATTTTGTACTAGAACTGATGAATATTTGGCTATATTTGCAGGAAATAGATTTGGATGAGGTTGAGAGAGACAACAACTGATTTTCTACAGAAGGAGCCACCTACGTAGGTGATCTACGGACCGTAGGTCCATTCACACTTCGTAGGTTGGTGGCGTAGATGAGCATCAGAGAAGTCTTGACTAAGTGTGGAATTACGATCTTCATCGATGTACCGTAGGTTGACCTACGGGCCGTCTTGTAGGTTTGTCATTTGTATAAGAAAGTTTGAGTTATAGTACCTGATGAAAAGTTCTAAGAATGGAGCCACGAGAGGGGACCCACTGATCGTAGATCGATCTACAGTCCTTTCTGCAGGTCCGTTGTTTGCATCTGAAAGTTGAAGTCTCCAAGTTTTGAAAATTTGCCTAAGTCCTAAGCCACAGAAGGGACCAACCGACCGAAGATCAATCCATGGTCCGTAGGTCAGTCTCGTCGATTGAAGTTGTGTCTAGCAGTTTTATTTCCTTATTTTGTTTCTTTTTTATTTGGGATTATGTTTTCTACAAATATGGTATGTAAACCTCGTTTTTGGGGTAAGCTACAATTGTTTAAATTTAGTTCTTTGTGTGTTCTTGGGAATTGACTTGCAAACAATAGTAATTTGATTTCCTATTTTCGATTTATAAAGATTTTGGCTTTGAATTTCAATTGGAAATTTTGGGTTTCTTCTACACATTACGTAAGTTCATGAATTCTTCTTCTAAAACTATGAATTGTGTTCTTGCTAGCATGGGTAACTAAATCCACAACTAGGGTTGTGGGAACCATGAGCGATCAACAAAGTATGAATAACAACTAAGTAGTTCTTGAATAGGGTTGAATCAAGCATTGATAAATCTTTCGTCTAGAAGTCTTTTTAACACTGCGCAACGTTAGAACTTGCCTTGTTGCTACTTGCCGGACCAAGGAGGTAGTTAATAAGAAAAGAATTATCAACATAGATTTAGTGTGATACTATCAAATAGTCTAATGTCAATTGGTACGAGGGTGAAAACTAAGCCATACATTGATGTGATGTCTAATATGAGGTAAAGGTAAGGGTTAGTAAATTATACACACATAGCCGGACCAAGGTGCGGGTGAAATTCTCTATTTGTTGGACCAAGGATTTAGAGATACATAACTTACCACTTTGCATGTGATACACTAGGATAGATCACTATTGTACGGATTATCGCGTTATGAGCTTATGGGGAACACATATACCCTACTTACTCTCTCTCATTGATAACAACCAAAGTTCAAATCTTGCTTACTAGTTTTCTAAACTACAATCAATAATTTGTTACACAACCCCCCCCCCCCCCCCCCTTTTACTTACTTGTTTGAGAAATGCGTTGACTAAATGAATATAATCGTAAGTTAAGTTTAAGTCTAAACCATATTCCTCATGGAATCGACCCCGACCTACTAGTTGGGTTCTTTGTTTGACAACAATCATTTATACTTCTTTAGGGAGGTGTAATTTGAGCGTATCAAACTTTGGGCGGCTGTCGGGGAATAAGATTTTTAGATTAAGTTTAACTACATTATTGAACTTTAGTCAGTTATTTCCTAATTTTACTTTTTTTTTGTTTTTGTCTCTCTCAGGTTCCTACTCTAGTGTATGCCAAGTACACGGAGTCGAGGTGAACCACTGACTCCTTACGATCCATAATTGAATCGAACTTTGCGAAGGATGAATAATCAAGGAGTCCCAGTCAAACCTATCAGAGGAAATCTAGGTGATGAAGTTGAGTTGCAGCCTCCTAGGGTTGATAATGAGAATGCTGAGAATCATGGTGGTAATCTACTGAGAGATGCATTAAGGGTACAAAACCCAACAGAATCGAGGCTGCGTGTTAACTATAGAGTCGACTTCAATACCGCTAAATCTGAAGGACCTATTATTCTACCTCCTCTACCTCCAAGGAATACATTCATTGTGACTAGCAGTTTGATGCAGATGCTTACAACGAGGGGTTCGTTCTCTGGTTTGGCAGTAGAGGGTGGATGCACACATGGCCAAGTTGAGGAGTGTTTGCAAGAGTTGCGTGGGTTGACCAGAATTAGACATGGATGTAATTAGGTTGAGAGTATTACCTATATCATTGGCCGGTGATGCTGTTGTGTGGTTTACTAAGCTCCCATATAACTCGATTCACACATAGGATCAATTGCAGAAGGTGTTCATGGCCAAGTACTTCCTAGTGTCAAAGAAGCTGAACCGCAAAGATAAACTCAACAACTTCGTGGAACTACCTTGAGAGTCTGTGAGTATTTCGTGGGATAGGTTCACTGCATTCATAAGAGGTGTTCTGAATCACCGCATTGATGATGAGTCGCTGAAGGAATACTTCTATAGAGGTCAGGATGACAATAGCAAGACTGTGCTTGATACTCTCATTGGAGGTTCATATGGTGAGTGCACTTTTGAGCATATATCAGAGAAATTAGAGAAAATCTCCTGAAATAACAAAGCTTGGAGCACTAGAAAGTCAAATACTGGGAGGAGCACATTGCAATCCAATCTACACCCAACCAATCTGCTGATGACATTCGTGAGGAAATGGCTCAGATGAGGACCGAATTAGGGATGGTGTTGAAGCATGTGAGCGGAGGTGCCAAAAAGGTAAATGCTGTGAATCATTTGACTAGAAATCCACCATCGGTTGAGAAGTGCTACTATGAAGAGGATACTTATGCAGTGAATGATTAGACAAGGGGTTTCCAAGGCAACGCCCAAGGTTCCAATTCAGATAATTGGCGCCAAGGTCAACGAAACGAAGGTCGAAACTATGGTAACTACAATCGAGAGGGTTAGTATGTTCTGGTTGAGAACTACAATCGCGACAACAACTACAATCGTAACAACTATGGCAACATAAACGATAGGGGTGTTCCTTATGTTCCTTCTCAAAATTGGGAATCTGGTAATAGGGAAGCTGGGAGTAGTATGTCACGTATTGAGGATATGATGCAGAAGATGATGAAGAGGTTTGATTCGACTGATGAGAATGGGAAGGAGATCCGAAACGAATTATCTTTTATTGGTTAAAAAGTAGATGCCCATGCAGTGTCAATCAAGCAAATTGAATAGCAGATGACTCTATTGTCTACAACAGTTAACCCACGTCAGCCTGGAACACTTCCTAGCAATACAATCCAAAATCTGAGAATGATGGGCATTGTATAATAATCACCACTTGAGGGGGTAAGCAGACTATTGATCCACCTATGCTGTCTGAGGTCGAAGTTGAGGTTGATGATGATGAGATTGAGGTTACTGGAGAGTCCGAGAATGCTATAGAGAAGGAAGTGAAGTTAACCCAAAAAGTTGTTCCCATGCCTAGACCTCCACCTCCCATCCCACAGAGGTTAGTGAAGAAGACTGAAGAAGGCAAATACCGTAGGTTTGTTAGTATGTTGAAGCAGCTTTCCATCAATGTTCTGTTGATAGAAGCTTCAGAGCAAATGCCTGGGTATGCAAAGTTTATGAAAGATTTGGTGACAGAAAAGGTCCGTGAGCTTTGAAGATGATGATAGGTTACAACATTGTAGTGCTATTGCTACAAGGTCCCTTGTGCAGAAGAAGAAGGATCCTTGTGCCTTCACTATTCTGTGTACCATTGGGTTGCTATATTTTGTGAAGGCATTGTGCGATTTGGGTGCTAGTATTAATCTGATGCCATTGTCTATTTACAAGAAGTTGGGTTTAGAGGATCCAAAACTGACTGCGATGCGATTGCTCATTGCTGATAGATATGTGAAGAGGCCCATTGGTGTGCTCCAAGATGTACTAGTGAAAGTGGAGTCTTTTATCTTTCCGGAAGATTTTGTGATACTTGATTGTGAGGTTGATTTTGAGGTTCCCATTATCCTTGAGAGACCATTCTTTGCCAATGGGCGCGCCTTGGTCGATATGGAGAAAGGGCAGATGAAGTTCCGATTGAATAATGAAGAGGTAACTTTCAACATTCGTAGATCCATTAAGAAGAGTAGTGAGCTCAAGTCGGTATCAATGGTGAATCATATTGTAAAGAGTAGTTCTAAGGTGCCTATTGAAGAAAGGTTGGGTGTTGATGCACTAGCAACGGTAATGATGAATTTTGAGGGTGATGTTGTTGAAGACTATGATGAATTGGTCGCCGCACTTTGATAGGTTCGAATTCTGTTCAAAACCAAAGAGATTGGAGTTAGAAATGAAGAATCGCGACTCTCCACCTGCAAGACCGTCTATTGAAGAGGCTCCAAAATTGGAGCTTAAGGCTTTACCATCACATTTGAGGTATGTATTCTTGGGGAGAGATGGTACTTTATTGGTCATCATTGCGGTAGATTTGAATGTGTCACAAGTTGAGGCATTAGTTTCCGTGTTGAAGAGGTTTAAGTAGGCTATTGGGTGGACTATTGCGGACATTATAGGGATCCCACCTAGCATTTGTTCTCATAAAATCCAACTCATGCAGGATCACAAGCCTAGTATTGAGCACCAGAGGAGACTAAATCTGCCTATGCAAGAGGTAGTTAAAAAGGAGATAATGAAATGGTTGGATGCTGGAGTTATTTATCCCATTGCAGATAGTAGTTGGATGTGTCCTATTTAGTGTGTTCCCATGAAAGGTGGGATTACTGTGGTACCTAATGAGAGAAACGAGCTTGTTCTGATGCGGCCCGTGACTAGATGGAGAGTTTGCATGGACTACTGGATATTAAATGCTTGGACAGAAAATGACCACTTCCTTATGTCATTCATGGATTAAATGCTGGACCGAATTACTAGTAGGTGTTAGTATTGCTTTATTTATTGTTATCCGGGCTACAATCAGATTTCCATAGCTCCGGAAGACCAAGAGAAGACCACCTTCACTTTCCCTTATTGAAACGACCCCAAAAATGCCCGAAAATGTGCTTCGGAAACACCTATAATTGTAATTTCCATATATCTCAAAATCCGTGCATGATTTCGGAAATTCGACTTCATATTCTTATTCAGGGGGTCAAATTGAGTGGGAAATGAGTCTAACCCGAATTTTAGAACAACCGTATCAAAATTCGAAAATCGCAAAAAATGCGATTTTGAGGGTCAACTTTAAAGGGGCATATCTCTCAGCACACAAGGAACTGGAAGGAGCTCAAACTATCAAAATTAAAGCTCTGTGAGTTAGCTTTCTAACGCAATTTGTTTCACCTCATTCCGAGTTAGGATGAAGGAGTTATGACCATTTTCGTAAAACCTGTCCGGCAGAAAATGCAAATTCCAGTAGCCGAAAACACTGTTCACCCGCCTCAATTTTTTTTCTAAGTGTTGGGACGTTTTTATAAAAAGGGGACATATCCATACTTAGTCATTTAACTTCAAAACATCCAAAAACTCTCTCTAAACCCTCTCCAAAAATTCCACCAAGATCATCAACCAAATTCAAGGATCCCAAGCTTTAATTCCGGATTCAAGATTCAATCTCAAACAATTCTCCATTCCAATCTTCATCAAGGATTCTCCAAAGTTGAGGTATGTGGGTTGATTGTGGAAACCTTCCTTTCCACAAGTCCAACCATTTATCCTCTATTCTACTTCAAGTTTATGGGTCCTTATGATCATTTATGAACTCTTGAATTATGGAATTATTACTACACATCCTATTATGGTCTATTTTTGTATATTATCATGAAATGGAATGATTATATGATGTTTATGGTTTTCATGCCTCAATGATCAAATTATGAAGGTTGTTATATATGTATATATATATGTATGTTGTTGGTGGGCTGTTTTATATGGATTTTGAAATTGGTTGGACTTAGTACTCTTGAAACACATGATTTTATTTACATGAACAAGTAGCCCACCATATGTTTGATAAAATGCCATTTATAGAATTCTTATGAAATGGAAGGTCCAATGTACGTCCTATGAGTCGGATGATTATATAAGTATTGAAATGATGATGAAATGGATACATGTATATGATTTTCTCTATATAGTGTGTGAGTCGATCAAGCCTAGCTCGGGGGGTTGTAGGCCCGGGTAACCGTATCAAGGGGTTGGTACCTTGATTGCCTAGTACGGGGGGTAGTAGGCCCGTATAACCGTATCGAGGGGTTTGTACCTTGGTTGCCTAGTACGGGGGGTAGTAGGCCGTATAACCGTATCGAGGGGTTTGTACCTTGGTTGCCTAGTACGGGGGGTAGTAGGCCCGTATAACCATATTGAGGGGTTTGTACCTCTTTCGCCTCTCCAAGGGGGTGGTAGGCCTTGGAAATACTATATTGATGGTCACTCACTACACATATACTATGTCCTACTAAATATGATTTTTATATAAGCATCATTATACATATCATCTCATTAATATGCTATCTATCGGGTACGATTATGCATTTTTCCTATGATGTCCATCTATTGTAGCATTGCATTGCATCCCACATACTTAGTACATTCAAACGTACTAACGCATACTCTATGCCTACATGATGTCACCATGTAGGGACCGGAGCACCGCTTGACCATCCTCCTCCGCGTGGCTAATACGATTTCCTATCAAGGTTATTGGTGAGTCCTCCATTCCGGGGACGTTGCTCATGATCTTTTGCTATGTATAAGACTTTTCTTTTTAGTTATGTTTTGACTATGAGGGTGAGCCCGGTAGTTTGTCTTGGCCCCGCTAAGTACTCATGTTTAGAGGTGGTGTTGGACAAGTTGTGTATTATGATTGAGCTTGACTCATCTATGGTATTTATGTACCATTTCTTTTTTTTTTCTTGCTCCCTTAGTCCCGATTTTCCCCTTGATTATGCTTATCGCTTATGGTCATTTTAATTGCTTCCGCGACCAATGATGTGTAAGATACGCTATGAGGCTTGTTTGGGGTTCCTTCGGGTTCCCCATTCGCCGGTCACGTCTAGGCCCTAGGCTTGGGTCGTGACAAACTTGGTATCAGAGCACTAGGTTGATAGATCCTCGGAGTCCAACACACCGCGTTGATTAGAGTCCGATTCATGGTTGTGTTGTGCACCACAACTATGAGTAGGAGGCTATGAGACGTTTTAGGAAATGTTTCACTTCTTCATTCTCTAAGTCGTGCCATAGATCTATAAGCTCTCTCTCTTATTCCTTGTCTTATGGTGTTTAAAGTTGGACCACTTGAAGGGTTCTTGCTAGAAGGAGCGAGTGGTTGTAATGCCAATTATGGTTATGTGACTTGTGAGCTTTGATGGAATAGATTATGAAGTTGTATTTTGTGTGATTAATGCTTCATAATTGTCTTTGTGTTGGTTAGAAGAACTTGTGTAGGCTTACTCCAAAGGGGGAGATAGTGTGCCTACCTAGCAAGGTAATTGTGAGGTTATGTTTAGTTGATGGTAGAACCCATATGGTCAAATTGTTGATTCCCAAAGGAGCCTATCCGAGAGTGGAGATGGGAAAAGAAATTATATGCCCTAGGTCGGGATTATGTTGTGTTTTGAAG